CACATGCAGGACCTTGCACTTGGCCTGGTTGCTTTCCTTTTTTCTTAAATTGGTTTAGTGAAGCAATGATATGCAGAAACAGAAATCAAATAAAAAGCATAGTGGAAAGGGGAAGCACACTGATATTCACAGAGAATATGCTTATAAACAACAGTGAAGAAAATATCTTTTGGCAGAACTTACGTTTCTAATCTTTCCAAACACAACCTTTTCCTCTATACAAAGGACTAAATGCAGTAGCAAATGAAAGGATCCAATACTGTAAAGACCTATTGTGAAGCACTACAGAAATCAGAGGAGAAGACAGTTGCTACTGTTAATAGTCTGTAATGTAATCCTATCAGTTGGTGTAATAAAAAACCCGGAGGAACAGAAATCCAAAACAGATAAAAAATTACAACAATAAAGAAATCCAAGGAAGAAAGAAAATTAGATAAATGCATTTAGATGCCAGTTAAGTGGAAAGGTTTACAAAATCATGACAATCCCGGTGATTTCCTGAGTTGATGGCAGCTGCACAGGGTGACAGTAAACACAATTGGCTCATAGAAAATGATAAAAATGGGAACTGAATATGGTGGGAGTGTAGAAGTGATATGACATGAACAGGTAAGTAGGAAACAAGTCTAAATACATTTTGGACTGAAAGGTAAAGACAAAAGCTTTCTGTTATGATGAAAGAGTTAGTGTAGGACATTTAAGAATAGCTCTTTTACACACGGAAAAAAAATTAAGTCTCAGCTTCCACAAAACTGATCGGTTATTTCTCCATATAATCACTGTTCCTCTATTGCTCTTCTGTTTCTACAGAGAGAAAAGAATATGTTTACAAAAACTACTAAAACAGTAGGAAGATTCACTGTCATGTAATTCTCAACTTCATTTTTAACCTGCACATATTTTAAATTAAAGGTAAAGAAAAAAAACCCCAAACACAAATTCTGTACTACTTTGCTTAAAGCAGTCTTCTGAACTATCCTGAGCAAAAGAACTACATCATTCTAGTAAACACATATATCATGTTGGGCTATTTCTATACTGTCTTTATCAACCTTCCCAGGGAGGGAAGCCTGGTCCTCACAGCCCACTGGTGTGTGCTGGCAAGAGCTACTCTCCTCAAAGGCTAGCATGCTCTGGAGGGCACATTGCCTGTGGTCACTTTGCATAGATTTGGCTTAGATCTCTTCTGTGCTCCATGTAACATGCTCAAGTGAGGCCATGATTTTTTTCAAGCTTACAAAGCCTAAAATAGCACGAGTAGTGTTTCTATGATTGACAGCATGCTGTTCAACACAGGGACATGCTGCAATGTTTGACTGTACATAGCCCATTGGGACAGCAGACAATTGTCCTACATAAAAGAAGTCAGAACTGGTGCCTCTTGCTCTGAAGTAGATTCTGGAGTGACCTGTCCTGTCAGCATTGCTTGGGTTTTAACTCAGAGGAAACTACTGTGTTCATCCTCGATGGGGACCTTGCCTGCACTAACACATGCAAACAGAACCTATGAGAAACAGAATGAGACAAACTGACAGCAAAGACACACACAAAAAACCCTTGAGAAAACTACTACAGTCCTGTTTGAAAAGGTATCTTCTATGCAACGTGCAAGCCTGGCTCTGTAATTCCCCTTGTAACTTCCCCTTCACTCCAAGGTCCAGCTGCCTGTGTGCAAGGAGCCAAGGCTCATCTAAAGTAACCTTATCTCAGGCTGTGCAGGAAATTACCAAGCTGTGCTAAAGAGCTGTGAGAAAGTCTGTAAAAAGATAAGAAAGGTGAAATTAGAAACTGAGGTAGTATTAGAAAGATGGGATTATTAGCAGTGCAAGGATTCAAGAGGAAAAATACCAATATAGAAAGATATTATATCCGAAAGAGGGGAAAAAAGTCAGCTTGGCAGTGGTCAGTTGGTTGTCAGGCCAGCAGTGTCAACAGGACGTCAGCATTAATGGATTTCGTGGACGATGACAATGTATTGATGTTGGGGATATGGGAACCTGTTCCAAGGTGCAGCGAAGGCTTTCTCTTTCTGCCTAATGCCTACCCAGCCTGCCAAAATTCTTCAGGTGTCTTACCAAGGGTGGTGAGCATACATAGCTTAAGCTAAGATTTAATGAGCAACTAGTTATCTTTTGTGTCTTAGCCAGTAACTGCTTTATACTCTTCAAGCTGCATATATTCCTGCTTGCAGAATTTGTTTGCACACAGATAAAGATGCCCAAGGGTTCATAAAAGGGTCAGTAAGAATAATCTGTATAAACTCATCAGTATAACTGAAGATGCCAACGTCGAAGTGGCTTTTTCATCTCAAGGTTGAATCCCAGGTAGCCTCCTGGTGCCCCATCTTCCTCCATTTCTATAACGGATTGTGTGCCTTTCCAGGTCCTGCGTGCGTCTCTGTCTCCACCACCAGAGTAATTCTACCCCCATATCACTAACTTTGTTTGGCCTGAGGCCTAAGCAAAAGCCAAGAGCAAACCACGTGCCAGCTGGCTGAGTTGGCTGTTGTCTTATCAGGTGAACCACCTACTTCTTGGCACCTCCTACTTCTTTCTGACAACTCAAAAAAGCACAACAGAGACCACTAGTGGTCTTCAGCTATTATACGCCAAGTACAAAATTTCATCTCTTGAGATTTCCATTCTTCTGACAAAGTTGACTGAAATTGGAAAACAGCTTTAAAGCACTAGGAGCCCCCTCTGCCCCATCTGGACAAACAGACCAAGGATGATGAGAGAAGTTCTGATTTCATAGGAAATCCAGGATAAAAATTTGATGTCACCTGATGTATGTAGTCAGCATGCATGACACTAACTTAATAAGCTATGCTAAAAGAAATCCTTTCCATACCTTTCAGCTGACTGTCCTCTTCTCTGCCTTTGTTCTCTTCTTTTCCTACTGCTTGCTGTTGAGCTGCAAGTGCAGTGAGTTGTGCAGACTGTTTAATCAGGGACACCCTGTAGAAATAATTTCTCCAGAACACCTCCTCCTTTATGCTAAAGACAACAAACAGATTTTGATTACTACATTTGGAAATATGGTTCCTTTTACCATCCAGCAATGAAATAAAATTAAATATGCAGAGAGAAGGAGCAGACATAGCTGCCTTCTAAGTAAAAACTTAGGAATTTGTGGTATTAACAGTTTAAAAACAATCCATCATTGTAGAAGTTCTTGATGTCTTACAAGATAGTTACAATGGACTTGAATATATAATAATAATAGTTATTTCTCTAGAAAAAGCTTAGCAGCATGCAAGCAATATATAATTTGGAACAACATTATGCTGTTCCATCTCTCTTGCCAAATTATGTAAACAAACCCAACAAACCAAATAATCCTGTTCTCCTCACTGACTCTAAAACCAACATTCTGTTATTGCGAAACTATATTCATCTACATCTTCACTAGACCTCAGGTGGAACATCTTTGATCTATAGGCAGAAGCCATTCCTAGTTTACCGCAGAACTATTTCATTATCTTCGTATTTTTCAGCACGTCCACAGGACCCTCAGTAACTAGAAACTGCCATCTAGGAAATGACCAGCTCTGGTAAGCGGGAGACTATCCCATTTCTTAGCTAACATTTCCATCTGATAATCCTCCAGCAGGCAAGAAAAGACTCAATTTTAACTCAGAAGGAAGAGAAGCCAGAAATGGCAGGGCCAGCAGGGAGGAATGTGTATAGGTCAAGAAAAAGACAGGAGAGAGTGAAGCTACCTTCCTGCCCATTCAGACAAACAGTGACTACTGAGACTAAGAACAGAAAAAACCCTGAACTATTAAGCAATGGGGTGGGATAGGCAAGGATAGCATGACCAGAGGCTGAAGACAGAGCATCAGAGACAGATCTGATGAAGACCCAGAATACAGGCAGAGCTTTAGGACTGACAGAAACAAAGAACAGCAGGGAAGGGGGTAAATAAAATAAGGAGTTCGGAAGGCTTATAAAAGGAGGAGATTTAAGAAAAGCACACAAAGAAAGATTTCCTATTTCCATCCTCAGCCAAGAGACTAATGTTGGAAACTCCTACTTAACAAGAATGTTGACCTATAAAACAAACTTAAGGAGCAGAGTCTGGGACTGGGCAAGAAAGGAGAACAGCACTGGAATACAGTTGGGATCAAGAAGCCATACTGGAACAGGCCATAACTGCTGGGACAAAAAACCTTATGGACCTTTTAGTTAAGTCCACTAGAAGGAAGGCAGTCACAACACAGAGCTTTTCCCATTGCCTATTCAAAACCAGTTTTTCTTGCTTGCATTGCTGCTGTTTTGTGATGCATTTTTTACCATTTCTCCATGGGGCCTTTGACTATCTTTAATAACCTTTTTGGGGTGTCAGTTACACCAATAGATCTGAACATTGCTGTTGCTGCATTTACCTTTGTTTGGAAAAAAAGATTTTCAATTAATTTAGCATACTGGACACGGAAAAAATTTAAGGCCTCTCCCATACTTAAGTCAACAGGTCCTTATTAGCTCTGAATTTCTATCAGATCTACTTCTGTTCTTTCCTCTAACTGCTAAATCGCAATGCACATGCAATATTCCACGTGTTCAAAATTAGCAGATATAAAATACATACAGAGGAAGTACTGAAAAAATTGAAGGAAGTGAAAAGAAAAAGGAGCAATTTATGAATATTTACAGACATGTTAGAAGTACATCCATACATAGTTACCAGCAGAAATTACTTACTGTTTGGGAACAAGATCAAACCTCATCCTATTGAGAAGTTCATCTTCTTGTAACATCACCATTGCAACAGGGTACATTTGATCAAAGTCAAAATTAAACTGCACACCTGCTGGAGGATCCCGCAGAAAATTTCGTTTATCCTTTGAAGAACATATTTATGGTCATTAACTGATATTAAAAAAAGGCTATCATACTTCCCCCACAAGATCAGCAAAGCAATCCCCCTTCCCACATAATTCTATCATACCACAAAGCTGTACAGCCTTTACAAAAATCAAAAATTATATTAGGGATCTACTTTGGCTCAAATTGATACTGAAAGAAGTGCACATGATCAGTGCAGTGACAGACACATTAGAAGTAGTATATTGAAAAAGACATAATTTAATAATGCCAGCCAAACTTTGAAAAAAAGGAAGTTTTAACCTCTCCAACAGAAAAATTTCAACTCTTACAGGAAACAAAATACTTACTGCTGATAAGGCCAGTATTTGTTGTTGAATTGTCTCTTCTTCATTGCTATCTACCCAGGGAGGCACTGCTGCTTCTGTTATTGAAAGGAGGAAAATAATTGCATGTGTTTTACTTTAAAACAACAAAATAAACAACCACAAAAACCCACCTTACATAAAATAACGTATAATGTCACAAAAATAAGCAGACTTACATCAGTAAGCCAATTCATTGTTCCTTTTTCCTAAACTAAGTTCACGGCATAAGAGAGAAACTCTAGGAATGGATCTTTGCTTATCACAGGTAAAAAAAAATAAATTAAATAGTTGCTGATTTCTGTTATTGTAAAACTAAAACTGGTGATTTCTTTGCTGTCAGAACTTGGTGCCTCTTAGTTTAGTTACTAAAGTAGTACTGCATTAACTGGTTAAGCTGCCTGCAAATAGAAATTTCTAGATTCACTTTAAACATGTAAACTTTGTCTAAATTAAGTTTTCAAAATCATTTACTTTTGTATTAATTTTCTAACACCCAGAAGACACCTATTCTTTAACGATGCAGAAAAGTTATAAATTTGTTATAAATTACAATGTTATACGCTGTATAAGCATACTCGAGTTCAGCTGATTTATATATTTACAGAGATACTTCCAAAATAATTCTGTAGACTGTATATAGAGGAAAATAAACTATTGCAGATGTGTAGAAATCTATCACTCTCTTCACTGCCAATGCTAATTGAGCCTACAGAGGTATTGTGATGCATCTGTAACAGTTAACAAACAATTCTTGTGCACCTAAAACTAACAATGCTTATTTGCCTATGCACCTGAAATCAGCAACAGCTTTCACCCACATGGATTCCTATCTGATGCTAATGCTTCTTTCAGTTACGCCATCTGTTAGTCTTCCTTTTGTCAGTCTAGCTACCTATTTTCATGAAACTTGTAGAAATATATTAACAGATGCCAAAGTTTACTAACAGAGACAAAAAGATAGAAATACAGACAACGCAATCACATAAACAGTCTTGCAAGAAGAAACCAGACTAACATACTAACTACAGACTATGAAAAATTTTATTGCGATCCATTTAAAACCAGCTCATTTTCAAGATTAACAATAGAGCCACTAATTATTCAAATTGTGAGAAATCATAGCATTCAGGTAACACATTAAAAGAGATAAAAGCCAATGATGGAATGCAACATAGAAAAAAAATTGTGCTTATTTTAAAGTCTCAAATAGATCCACTAATGTCAATAGTACATGGGTGGATAACTCAAAGGATTTAGATCACAGATAATTATAAAGCAAATGACTTATGGGAAAGCAAAAGAGCAATTATGCCTTTAATGTAAGCCGAACAACTCCTACAGCAAAACTAATTAAATATTATAGTGCAAACCTTAACCCATGTTCTTAATTTCATTATGAAAATGCGACATGATTGCTAAAGCTCAAAAGAAAGGTAGTCAGCATGCCTGTTTTCAGTAAGTACACAGGCTTAAGATTGAAAACAACAAGATCAGCTTCGCTAGCGCAGCGATCTTTGAGTTAATTTCATAAAGTGGAATATGGTTAAAAAAGCAAATCTAAACAACTAGATAATGTTACACTAACCTCACTTGAAAATGTCATCTTCCTATTCCACAATATATGTTCAGTTCTGCCAAAATGTGTTTCATGAAATGGAATTTTGATAGATTTAGATGTAGCTCAATTATCCAGCTTCCAGCAAGTTTTAGCTTATGTGATGTTATGCCTTATCAAAACAAACATACATTACCTGATTTTTTTGTTTGCTGCTCTTGTACAAATTTTTTCTGTTCCTTCTGAAAATCTCCAATAATTGTCTAAAATAAAAATTACAATAAAAAGAAGTCACTCCTCTTGTTTCATGTTCACTCTGAAAGTGCTTTCAAATACACTGCAGGATCATATATATCCCTGGTGGCGCTTTTTGTAAGTTAATTAAGGTGTTTCATTTAAATCATACATTTCATTTACTGAAACATTTGATTTTGCCTTTAAAAGTTTAAACTATTGTGTACACTTTCAAAATTATATTTATAGTTTTATCCAGTTCGGGGGACCAAAAAAAAAAAAGAAAGAGGAAAATCCTAGCTGATAATTTGAACATCAGCATACTATGCACATACACTTACTGCCTTACCATATCAAATAACAGACAACATAGACTAACTGTTTAGACCTATTTAAACATGTTTGTAAAGCACTAAACACTTAAAGATACCCTTTAAGTGTATCTTTACTTAAGATAAAGTAAAGATAAGTTACTTATCTTGAAACTAGTAAGTTTCAAGAGTTGCCTAAGATATATATCCATTGCAATAAATTAGACTGGTAAAATTGTTAAGTATGATTTTCAGAGTGTCCGCTTAGTGGAAATAAAATAATTTCTCCATTTATGTTGACAAATTTTAATTAAAAAAAACTATGTTCAGAAATATCCTCCATTGAATTTAGAATTAAAAAATGGTGAATGGTCTCAGAAGTCAGTATGCCATGATCTACAAGTAACAATGCAAATGTTTTGTAGTTGAAAGCAGAGGCAAAAATCCATGAAGCTAGAAATGAATACTTAAACCACTTGCAAAACAGAAATTAAGCAGTGAGGTTTATGGCTTAACGAGTTGCCAAAAAGTATGCAAATCTTCAAGCTAAATCCTGATAAAATTCCTATATTTTTTTCCTTCAACAACCCCGCATTTCAGTTTAAGATTAACATCAGTGAGAGAACTACGTAGTGCCTGTTATACAAACAGATCATTGTGGTTCCTCCTGGTTGTAAGTTATATGAAATTTTGGCCTTTATGGAATAAAATAATTTATATGGTGTAAGACAAAAGCTTTATGATGATATAGCTATAGTCTGTTTCTCCGCAATGTAAACTTATTAGTCAAAACAAGGAATCTGTATTACTCTTAAGGCATTCACAGAAAAAAGAAAATGGTATTTTAGGCATAAAATATGAGGTAGATACTTAGCTACAGTTCCTTATGAACATTATTATTTGTATATTAAATTACCAAATAACCTTCTTACTCTATTTTTTCCTTTTTGATGCGGATCAAAATTACATTAGACTCTAATATACTGTAGTAGGAAATATAACTGCTATTATATATAGACGGTTGTCTCTAAAAAGTCAATGAAATCTGGCGACAAAATTCATTCCTAATACAAATTTAGAAGTGTCATTTGATGATTAATTTGGAGGACAACACGAAAACTAATTATATCAAGATATTGAATTTCACTGCATTTAAGGAGAAAAAAAAAAAAGGCAGGGGGAACACTTTAGTTCCCCTGAAGGGGTGCTTGAGAGACCGGAGCAGGAGCAAAGGTCTGGCTGCATCTCCCATGTCTGACACTCCTGGATGCAGCACAGTCTCACTACAGCTGGGCTGGTTTTGGCCAGTTCCCTTCCCCTTCCAAGCTACCCTTGCTAAAAAACACAGAACAATACATAGCACTTACTGCTGCCCTTTTTTTTTTTTTTTTTTCCTTTCTTTCTTTCTGCCAAATTCATGACTTAAAGCACTGGAAGAACATTTGCTGGCAGAAGTTAAGCAACTGGAACTGGCAGCCAGGAACAGGGAGGGCAAGAGATAAGTGGCTGGACCGGGAGGAAGAGAAAGAACAGGACACTAGTAAGCTGTTTCATTAACTCACTGGGTCTTATGAAACCGTACCTGCATAGCTCTAGGGTCTTACTATACAATATCCACAAAGCTGGCCTAATTCTGAATCTTGCTTCAGAGATGCATTTAAGATGCCGGTTATGGCATTCCTCTTTTCAGCTAAATAAACTAGGGAAAAAACCCATCCCATACATCTCCCAGACACCCCTCAATTCCCTGTCTCTACTAACTCTTCCAGCCTTTCCTCCCGTGTCAGCATTTTTCATATTTTCTCCTGGTCTTTCTCCAGTGTATGTACATCCTAAAGGAATGTAGATGCAGTACTGAGTAAAGCACAGTGACCATTTTTTGGCATGCCTACCCCGAATAAATATTTCGGTCACATCATTTATTATGACAGGAGATACTGCTCTTGAAATAATTCCTAAAGCCAGTTTAAAGAAATGTTATCACATGCCAGATTTGCCACACATTACAACAACAGCAAGCAAGCAGATCTTTCAGATCAAGTATCTAGAAATAAAATACCTTATCAATGATACTGTCAATTTTTCCTTCTTCTACAGACTTCTTTATCGTATGTGCTGTTTCAGCAACGGATTCAGATATCTTTTTTGTAGCAGCAGTGGCAAAATTGAAGAGGTAACCTTTCACAGATGAAAACAGAAAGAGCTGAAAAAAAATCTCTTTACATCCAAGTTCTCTTACTAGATTTTGCTTTCTCTTTAGACATTTGGATACCTACTTGAAATCTTCTTTCAAATTCATTTAACCAAGCTTCCAGCCTACAAAGAACTGCAAAAATCCTTTTCTAGTTCATATTCTTTAGTCATGATGATCAAACTGTAGGTTTGATCACAACTTTCTGTAAATCAAACTTTTATACGTAAACCTTGTTTACCAAGTCAAGCATTCCTAATCATCCTTGAACTATTGCTTTCCAATGAATTTTCTGGAGCAATGTGTTTTTCCTCATTCAAGTATTTCAGAGACATTAAGCAATGAAGTAACTTTAGCAACAGTATTAAAACAGAATTATATTTTTTTTTAAGAAAATCGACAAGCACAATAAAGTCTCATGAAGGCAGCAAATGCATGAAAAATTTTAGGCAAGTAACACTTGACATTCTTTCAAAAGTCTTAAGATAGAAGCTTGCTTTTGATGTTTGCCCTTTTCTATTTTGCATTGTCTTCTTTTTAGCTCCATGAGAAGCACTGTGGCCCTGTTTGCTTATTTTTCTGAATATGTTCAGTGTCAGAACAGCAGTAACAAATACTCCCAGAGGCTAACTAGCATTTTTTATATTAGCAGTGCGAAGTGAAGAAAGGTAGCAGGGAAAGAACTATGTAGCATGGACAGTTGCCTTTTATTGTTAGTTTTTAATGAAGAAGAACAAACTTGCAAGCAGCAAGATATATATCATGAACTTTCAGAAACATTAAATATCAGTTAACTGACAAAGGATCTTAAAACAACATTGGTATTGTTTATTTCTCAGATAATGACATGATGTCACAAGCACTTTGTTACATCTGAACAGTTGTAGGACTGTAGTATCACAGCTACAGTATACACAATGACACAATGTCAGTAACTACCATAGTAAATATAATAATCGCAGAGATATCTAGATAGATTGGAGCATTAGACAATCATCAATGGGATGAAATTTAACAAGAACAAATGTCAGATTCTGCACCTGGGACAGAGTAATAAACAAGTATAAACTGTGAGAGGAGTGGCTGGAGGGCAGCCCTCCAGAAAGGGATCTGGAGGCATTGGCTGACAGCAGACTCAGTATGAGCCAGCAGCGTGCCCTGGCAGCCCAGAGGGCAAACCCCATCCTGGGGTGCATCAAACACAGCATAACCAGCCCATCAAAGGAGGTGATTGTCCTGCTGTACTCAGCGTTGGTGCGGCCTCACCTTGAGTACCGTGCGCAGTTCTGGGCCCCACAATTTAAGAAGGGTGTGAAGGTCCTTGAATGTGTCCAGAGGAAGGCAACAAAGCTAGTGAAAGGGCTGAAAGGAATGTCCTGTGAGGAGCAGCTGAGGACTTTGGGTTTGTCTAGTTTGGAGAGAAGGAGGCTGAGTGGCAACCTCATGGCTCTCTACAGCTTCCTGAGGAGGGGAAGTGGAGAGGGAGGTGCTGAGCTCTTCTCCCTGGGATCCAGCGACAGGACTTGTGGGAGTGATTCAAAGCTGCATCAGTCAGAGGAGGCTCAGACTTGTCATTATGAAACATTTCTTTACTGAGAATGTAGTCAAACACTGAAAAAGGCTTCCTAGAAAGGTGGTTGATACCCCAGGCCTGTCAGCGTTTAAGAGGCATTTGGACAATGCCCTCAACATGCTTTTAACTTTCAGTCAGCCCTGAAGTGGTCAGGCAGCTGGACTGGATGACTCTTGTAGGTCGCTTCCAACTGAAAATATTTTATTCCAATTCTAGAGTTAGAAGCAGTAATGGTGGATCTAAACTGCATAGTAACTACCAAAGATGTACTTGAGGCATTAGTAAGAATGCAAAGCACATGGGATAGTAAGAATATTTTAGTTATTCCAGAAAAAACAATGTTGACTTTTATACAGGGGATTTAAAAAAAAACACCCCAGCATTTCTGTTTCGAACAAACAAAAAATCCACCTTCCTTCTCAAGACATCAGAAAAATTCCAGTTTCCTTATAGGTTAGACATGTAAGAAGTAACATGCAAAAAACTGAGTTGTTTTAACACACAGTTGTTAGCCACTGGTAAAATTAATTACTTTGGAACATGTCACCTTTTGGAAAGCTGACTGTTCTTTGTGATGTATAAAATATTATCTCTCTCTAATGATATCACCAAATCAATACTGACAAATGCAGAGGTCTAGCCAGCCCTCAAGCAAGCCAGTTTTTCCTGTGTAACTTCCATTTATGAGCCATAGAATGGTGGCAACCAAACTTCCTTCAGGTACTTGCTAGCATCTTTTATATCTGTTATCAGGCTTTACAACCCATCACATGCTTCACATTGTATGAGAAAAAGCTTATCTTCTACACCTTACATATAGACATATATACTGTCCCTCTTATGGCAGTAGAGGAAGCAGCAGCCTACCAGATTGTTTCCTCCCTACCAGCTTTTATTGGTTGTTTTATGTATCCCTGGAAACTTTCTCATATGCAATCGTTTTAGGTGCAAGAGGTGCCAAAATATTTGCTGTCCAGCAATATTTTGGTATTGTTGGGCAAAGTGGTTTTGGCCAGTCCTGGAACCACTCTGAAGAACAAAATGGTTTTTATTTCCATTAAGGGCAAATATTCTTCTGAACTGAGGTACTTCTAAAACCTCAGTAAGAGGTGATACTTAGCCTCAGAAAAATAGAATCAGTGATGGAAAGAATAACACTTCCATTTTCAAATGACCAAGAAGGTTTCCCTCCCTCTTACAAATCTAAGCCTATAGTAAGAATATGTATCTAGCAATATTTGTAGTATTAGTTCACACTGAGAAACTCTCCTAACCTTTGTAATGATGTGATAATGAGCAAAAAATAATTTGTGTAAGGCTTCGGTTTTACTAGTAAAATTATTTATGTGCTAGGGGAGTCTTTCTACACAGCTACCCTGGTTATTAGTCATGCAGATGTTTCTAGAGTAATCATGTGTTACATAGCGACATGCAAATCCTTACAAAAAAGCTTTTCCACCAGAATCTTCTCTGGTGTCACAGACAATGAATCCATGTATCACTAAACCAAATTCTGACTTCCAGAGCAAATTATATCTGTTACAGTCAATACTTATTCTTCTCCTGAAAATTCTAAGTCTTTTAGGATCAGTTTACAACAGCCAGACAAGTATTTGACCAAACTACACAGATAATCTGCTGCAGCTCAGATAGCCTAAGGCAAAGCACAGTAAAGAACCATCTCAGACTAACATTTCACTTGATACTGATCCAACACTTCATAGCACTGGTAAGAAAGCACTTAAAAAATTAGTATGAAGCTGTACTTTGGATTAATTTTATCTAAAAATCTACTTAATCTACAGAATCCTTACCTATAGCAAATTACAGCCTCGCCTCATTACAGATGAATTCAACAAAATAATCAAACCCCATTTCTTTCCTAGGAAAAATCACTAAACCCCACACCAGTTCATGAAGTACGTTATATGTATCCATCACTTTTCCCACAATGACAACAGAACAGATACTTAAAGAAATACTGTTCATTTAGCACCAATCTGAAAAAGATGATAACTGAAAGGAACATTTGCAGCCAATTACTTGGTTCATATTGCAAATATTCAAATTTTTGTGAATTTTTTTTCTTATCTCCAGTGAGGCAACATCCTTTAACAGTACAGAGTTGTTAGCAACTTAAAAAAATATTTCTCATTGTCAATAACTGCTACTTAAAAAGAATATCAGAAATACAGAAAAATGAAGATGAAACTAGAGAATTAGGACACTTCCAAACTAACAGCCTTAGCAATTGCATAGGATTGTTTCAGAACTGTGAAAGAGACTGGACAAGCTGTATGAAAAACTACACAGAAGCGATGCATGCCCCAGACTGTAGTTAACAAATATCATTTAAAAGAGATGCAAAACAAAGATATGTGAAGACAAAAAATAAAAAAGGTAAGGAAAAATGACTTTTAAGACTTCTTCACTGAGATCATATTCTATATTAGCTAAACTAACCTGAATTACCATTTACATCTGGAAAGATGCGCTTCAGAGCCGTTTTGGTTTAAGAGCATCGTGGTCACCTCAAACTTAGGTTCCCCATTTTGCATCACTATGCAAGCTACATTGGAGTTGTAGCTATCCAGATGAAAAGGGGTTTTTCTTCTACATTTGTTGTACTGAGAATAAACATGCTTAACATCCTAAACCCTATCTAAAACCATTTAGTTCAACTAAAGTTTTGGTTTATGTGCCAATGATCAGCACCGGTAACTTCTGCAACCCCTAAACGTGCATTAAACTAGTTTGCCCTCACTTCTCCAGCTGCCACCCTGCTCTCACTCCCTTAAGGGAATTTTGCTCCTAAGGCAACTGGTTTATTTTTTAAGAACAGCCCCATAGCAGCATCCCCCGTGCCTGGGCACGGCACAGCTCTCCAACAAGCGAAGCTATTGTCTCTTACTCAAGCCCTCTCCTTGCACGAAGCCCCCCAGCAGCGGTGTGCGGGAGGGGGAGGAGCCCCGCACCTCTCCGCTGCAGCTCAGGGTACCGCGGGGGAGCGGAGCGGAGGCGGCGGGGGCGGCACGGGCAGCGCAAAGGCCGCTTTCTGGTCAGGTGCGGGTGTGCCCCGGGGCT